GCTTAGGGTGGTGCCAGTCTCATCCTCTTCACTTTCCCATGCTCAAACTGTGGGCTGAGGAGATGCTTCTGTCCTTGAACCTTCTCATCCCAATCCATCACACCACTTAGCAAACATAAATGCAAATGGGGAAACAAGCATTAAAGGTAATCCTCATTTGGGGACTGCCTCATTTAGTGACTGTTTGCAGTTACGATGTTGATGGAAAAGTAACTTTGCAACCAATCCTGCCATTTAAGACCTTCGCAGGCCTGTAGAACAAAGGAAAGCTGAGGCAAGATCGTAAGCAGTTTTGTAGTTTCACTTAGTGACCACTTCACTTAACAACCATGTTGCCGATCCCAATTGTGCTCACTCAATGAGGACTACCTATATATGCTGGTGTGTATGTGTGGAGCTGGTCTATTAAGCAAAGTTACCTTGCTTGGATGAGTTCACAGGTCTTAATATCTGAAGTTCATATATTTTTTTACACTCCCATATGTTTTCATCACACAGTCTTATTAAAATTTCTAAGACTTGTACTCAGTGACATTTATCAGTGGAGTGAGTTCCTCCCACCTTGCACCATCACATCTACTTCAGAATTGTTCTGGAGGATTGACGACCCTTTGGAGAAGACTGGGGTGTGTAGGATAGTTGGGAAAGCAAGAGGAAGTTCTTATGTACAAGAATAAGTCTGCTTGCATAATGCTAGATCTATCTCTAGGTATACATTTTATATGTGAACTCTTGCAACAGAAACCTTAATTCATGGCAATGCCCTGTGTAAATAAAGCTGGTGTAATTTTAGCATCAGATAAGCATCAGGTACTATTTCTGAATAAAATATATTCTACAATATGGAAAAAAATGATGCGTAGAATAGTTTTATTGCAACCTTTTACATTTTAGCAAGATCAAACTCTCCATTATTTCCAGGTGCTTCTCAAGAAAATCTTGTCCAACTTACTTTCCACTTTGCATTATTCTTGACAAAAATCTAATTTGAGATTTTATTACTTTGCTTAAAGTGTTGAAACAATTTCTTTATTGCAAAACTATGAATTTTATTAAAACTGAAGGTTTTTTAGAAATTTGCTTAGATACACGGTAATAGTACCTTAACTTTATTATTTTCTTAAAAAGTTAGGACATTTTCTGTATCACTCTAGATCTGTTAAAATAGCTGAATTTAAGTATTAGTAATGAGTTGAACGATTGTTACTGTGGCACTTGAGTAGATGAGATATCCTCCCACTGCATATTGATTTATGCTGGATTATTGGAAGCAACATTAAATCTTTAAAATTTGACACTGTAGTCTTCTTAAGGTGTGAGACGCTTGGGGTCACGAGGAAACATGGACGTTTGCCGGACATTGCTCAACCCAAGATATAGCATGGTGACTCTTTCCAAGCCTGTCAAAATTAAATCAAGTCTAATTAATCTGAAGATGGAGTTATGTGTACATATACTGAAATACTCACAAGCAGAACAAACAAGAACAGACTGGCTGGGCTGTTCATGATAAACCAAGTCACTACCAGATATTCTTCTCCAACTGCTGCTGCCAGGTGGAATCTGGCACATGCCTGAGAGAAAAATTAGCAATAGTGGAATTGAAGGAGAACGTTGGCAGGGATGCAGTGCTTTTTCTGACCTCCCCAGATATTCTAGAGTCTTCCATCTAATTAGCATTTAAAGGGAAAATTGGATTGCTTTTTTTCATAAGATCTAAATTTGATATTATGAAAAAAATATCTAAATTTAGGTAAAGTGGCAAGGGGGGAAGAAAAATAATAGCACTCAGTATTCTTGTTTTTATCATATTAGAATATCAACCATAGAAACAGATCCCCATCAAACAGCAAATGTTCCTTTGCCTCATTATTCCATGCCCTGTTAGATGAAATAGAAAGGGGAACACAGCAAATACGTATTATGATTCCTTTTGTGATTAAGGATCTTTCAGTATTGTTTGATTACTTCTTTGGTAACTGTTTCATAAGAAAAGAAGGAAAGCAAGGTTTACAACAAAACTTAAAAAAAAACATCACTATGTATCTTCAGAGATAAACAGCTTGGAATTAGAATCTACAAAAAACATGGATAAGACTCAGATAAAGTGCACTGATGACGTTACCTAGTCGGGTAATGAAACATCTGCAAGCAAACAACCAACCTCAGAGAGCACCAAGGACTCCACACTCAGATAAAGGCAGTGAGTATCATGTGAAGTTGGAGTATCTGCATTTCTCAAGCACACGCATTACTTGTAAATGCAGGATAGTATTCTAAATTAAGATCAAATGCTAGAATGCTTTTCATCCTGAATTGTGCAGGCATTTGAACATAGACCAAAGTGAAAACAGAATATAATGAAAATAAGCTACATTACCTATGCCGCCACCAGCATGGGGAGGTGCACCAAAACGAAATGAATCAATATAAGACTTAATCTTCTCTAAATCTGAAAAGGAAATACTTTATTTTAGCTCAGGCCTAATTCCACTTAGCATCATGAAAAAAGTATTCAACACAGAGGAAAGCACCATTATTAACCAACTGTTTCAGCGCTTCTTCACAAAATTCCAACATATATTTTTACATTAATTCAATATTACTATCCAATGTAAGAGACCCAGTTTGGTTTAGAGGTTAAGGCATCCTCCTGCTAGAAACCAGGAGACCATGAGTTCTAGTCTTGCCTTAGGCACAAAGCCAGCTGGGTGACCTTGGGCCAGTCCCTCTCTCAGCCCCGGGAAGCAGGCAGTGGCAAACCACTTCCGAAAAACCTTGCCAAGAAAACTGCAGGGACTATTGCCAGGAGTCAACACTGACTTGAAGGCACAAAATAAATAAATCCAATGTAAACCATCACCGTTGTGAGGTGTGAACTGCAGCACTGAAAAGAGGAAGCAGACAAATGTAAAGATTCACTTAGGAAATGGAGTAATGCTGCAGATGTTTCTTCTCATCTAAACTCATATTCCATATCCTATGCATAAGAATGTGTGGCAGCCTAACCCTATGAATCACTCCTATTTATTCAGACATGTTTGTTAATATCTTGGAAGGATGTGTTTTATTATAGCCAGGTTGAAATACATTTTACAGAGTTCTGATCTGAAGTCTCGAACTATCTTCTAAAATGAAATCTTGCTGAGAATCTCTTCGCTGCTGAAAGGAAAGGCAGTTTGGCTGATGTGGCAGTTTTTGTTAGGCCAACTCACACAAACATAGGCACAATGGCCTTTTTCCTAACCTTACATTATATTGATTTTTAGGTGTCTAAATGTAAGATCTACAGGGAAGGCCTTGTAAAAATGCTCCTATTTTTAGAGATCTGCTTGTTGAGAATGCAGAAGAGTCTGAGTCCAAACTATGGAGTACCCTCCCTCAGAATTTGTATTTGTCCTGCTTCTGCCTTTACAAGACTCACTTTTTCAACCATCTGTTCTGAACTAGTTTTAATGATGATTTTGTTGTTATTAGTTTTAATTACCTTCTGTGGGTATTTTTTATTGTTAGAAATCCTGATCGGCTTCCTAGGTAGAGAGATGGAGTACGTAGATAAGTAAATTTATAAATCAAGTTTAAGAAAAAATTTTGTTACGGTAGCTTATATTATTTGATTGACACATATTTTGAATTTTTACTGTATATCTCCATGAGAGAACCAAACATTTGACTTTGTAAGGGGAAGGATATTCTAAGAGGCAACAATCATCTATAAAAATTCCAAACTCCTCTCTCATTGGTCCCATTTTGAGTTCTGATCCTGTGCTATTGGCTATTCAAGATGCTACTCAAATCAGGGCATGGCCCAAGGAAATTGCACCCCTCTTCTCTAAGCTAATTCATAAACATAGAAACTTTTAAAAAATGATAATATAAAAGATCAGGAGAATATGAAAGTAAAAATTCTAGTTGTGCCTAATGAACTAGAGCCAGCACTGAAGTCCACACATCTTGCTAAGGTTGAGAAATACTGACCTAGGAGAAAGACATAGAAGAATTATCTTTCTACGGTCACAAGGATCCTATAAAATAAGTAATGTCAAACTCTTCTAAATAAAGATGTATCCCTTTTAGCAATGAATTATTTAACTAATAGACCTCAAGAATTACCAATGCCATGATGTAAGGCTCTTTCAGTCAACAGCTGTGGATCATGAATTCGCTGTGCCCCAGACAAAATCTCTTCTCCCCTCATGAACATATCGTAGGAATTGGAGGTTTTCTGGGGGAAAAAACATGACTTAGTAATGAAGAATTAAGTGTGCTTCAAAACTGGAATCTATAGATAACAAATTACATAGAACTCAGATAAAGGCACTGACTACCATGAGAAATGTTATAAGAATACCTGCATGAGAGAAAAATGCTGCTTGAAACAGGCTCTGCCTGCTCCAACTTTGATTGCATCATGCCAGCATGGTCCCCATGAGAAAGCTTAGATTCTCCTCTTTCCTTTGTGTGCTGTTTTCAGAACTGGTGCTGTAGTAATGGTGGTTGATTTGTTTTGTTTTGCTTTGCCTTTCTCTTCTGGGATCATGGGAGTTCTGTTCAACCCCTAGCATCCTAACAAGGGATAAAAACTTCCATTCTTTAATTTTTTCCCTTCAGTTTTGAAAGCAGCACAGATCAGGGAAAAAAGAACAACTCAGTAGGCTACTTTATTCTGTGAATATACTTTTATCCTAAAGATAATCTTTATACTAAGGGCAGAGACAAGACCTCTTATTGTGCTGAGGTATTTCAAGTTTCGCAGAGAACATCCTAGGGTGCCCTGTTAATTTTTAAGGCAAAAGCCCTTGCTAAACCCTTTTCCTGACCAAAATGACCCTATTTTAGTGTCTCGAAGGCTCTGCCTCCTTAAATCAATTTACTCAGAAGCTATATAGTATTTCGTATTAATATTACCACCCAGTTTTCCAGTATGAGATTCAGTAAGATCCTTTTTCTTGTACCTCTTTTTAAAATTAAAATTAAAATTTAAAACTAACACACTGCTATCTGTAATAGGTCCAAGAAAGGCAAAAGAAAACATTATATATAATAATGATAAGAGATGCCATGAGATACAGAAATGACCTTTAGTTTGCATAGCTGTACAAATAAGTGTGGTGGAGGAGAAAAGCAGAACATTCCAAGCAGTAAGATGGCAGGGAAAAAGGAAAATTTATTTTCCTTTCTTTGGCAGGTGAATAAAGTAAAATGAGACTTTCTGGTTTTACCACTGCTTATAATAGAGTATTACAGCAGATGGTACCACCTAGAAGACTTTAGTTCATCTCAGAAGCTGGAGTGGCTTTGGTTACTACTTGGAGACAAGACCTCCTGTAGAGGCAAGAGTAGGTGGTTGAAAAAAACATCCTGGAAAAAAGCAATGGCAAACCAGTTCCTTAAAGCTGCCATCACCAAGAGTATAAGGAATAAGAAATTGGAAAGAACCAAGACACTAAGAAACATTTGATGGAATCTCAATTTCATATTAGCACTTTGTACAATTGTATGTATTTCTGGTTGTAAGCTAAAAGTTGCATTCTAGTCAAATCACAAACCTTTTTACAATGTCCACCTATGCAGTGAGAACTAAATACCACTGAATTTAATGAACCTTTTCCCAAGAAACATATACAAATTAATTTTTAGGTTTTTTTTAAAGTCGTTTCCTCATTTTTTATGTTTTTTTGACATTTTGATATTTCGTTGAGGATAAATAACAGAAAGCTTAAAAAGTATGTCCATCCATCCACTGGAACCATGACAATGGATAATTATCATGATGTCCTCCAAAAATCAGGGAGGATAGATATAGCAATATGTATGAGACTTAAGGGTTCTCTGGAATAATAGCTTTTTCCTTCATCAGATCTGAGATTTTCCACAGCTATTAGAAAGAGAATGCTTTTGCTTTGGATCCTGAAGTCACCTCCTAAGAATTTCAATTTCAGTATCAAAGGACTACTGAATGATGATATACATAGCTCTTACAATTTATTAGAAGGAATTGAAGAAACTGGTGGGGTTCTTAGATTAATTTTGCATTTATTCTTTCATACACATTTCAAAAGCTAACTATCATTTGTTTTTAGATTTAATAAAGTAGTTGTAACAATTAATTCCAAAGAATTAATGTTACGGTCAACCAGAAGCTACCAATAGTAGCTCAAGCAATAGTTTATATTATAGTAACTAAAGCTGAACTTTTACTTGGCAAACAACATAGAGGCCTCATGATCTTTTCTACTTGTTTCAAATACTATTCCTGCTGCCCTGAACAAATACTAGGGTTACTATTCTCAATCCTTCTCTACAATCATATTACCCCAATATCACACACTACAGTGATTCTGTCATGGAGAAAATCTATGTGGTTGCTAAGAGTTGAAAATGGCTTGACAGTACATAATCAAAC